AAGCAATGTTAATGGGAGCAGATAAGTTGGGTAGAGGGTAAGTTAGAAAGTTTAGTTTCTCTGTAATATTTTCTTTTCACCATGAAACTGGACTCCATATGTGATGGTTTTAAAAATATGTCTATACATTCTTTGATAAACGCCTTCCTTCAAAACGTAGAACTTCATTCCCTCCCCTTGAGTCTGTACTGAACTCATTTCTAATGAACAAAATGTGGAAGAAATAATGATATGTCACTTCAGAGATCAGGCTCAAAAAAACACTGCAGGGGATCCTGGGTGGCTCAGTGGGTTAAAGCTTCTGCCTTCCGCTCAGGTCATGATCCTGGGGTCCTGGGATCAAGCCCCACATCGGGCTCCCTGCTCTGCTGGGAGCCTGCTTCCTCCTCTCTCTCTCTGCCTACCTCTCTGACTACTTGTGATCTCTGTCTGAAGGGTTTTCTGAGAGGCAGAAATTTCAGTGCAAAAACAGGATGCATTGGTAATCTTATTCTTGACCTGGCTCTTTCTCTCTTGGATAATTTACTTTGATGGAAGCTAGCTGCCATGTTGTAAGTTGCCCTAAACAGAGGCCCAGATGGCATGAAACTGAGGGAGACCTGGAGTCTCCCTCAACAGCCAACAAGGAACTGAGGCTTCTATCCAGTAGTCCAAGAATAATTGAGACCCACCGACAGCCCCATGAGTGGAGCTTGGAAGCACGTCCTTCAGTTAAGCCTTCAGATGAGACTGCAGCCCCTCTGGACAGCTTGACTATACTGTCACGGACAACTTGGAGCTCAAGCCACCCAGCTGTGATGGTCCCAAATTTCTGACCCATAGACATTGTGAAATAAAGTTTGTTAATTCGCTAAGTTTGGGGGTGATTTCTTATGCAGAAATAGGCAACTAAGTCATCAGATCAATGAAAATGAAGGGAATGTGTTGAGATAGGTTTCCAGGGCCTTGCAAAATTGGATGACTTTCTCCAGCAGCTCCAGACAACTCCAGACGATGTGCTCATCTACTTTATGTGCCATTGATTTTATGCAAGGTACAACAGTATCTTTCTTCCCCCAACATCATCTTTTGATAAAGGAATTTTGCCAAAAGCTTATTTACCTTTCTTACTCTGCATGTTTATCATTAATGTTATGACTGACTTTAAAAGCTTCTTGGCAAGAATATACCTGTCACTGTTTTGGCTCTGAAAAGTGCAACTTTAAAGGATGCCTTTATTATAGTTTTGACCACTTTTCTTATCTTTAGAGGTAAGTGTTATCACTGTTTTATTAAGAAGCATTATTTTGTGGGCTTCTCTTCCTCTAGAATGTTGGTTTTGATTATCAGATTGGCCACTGAGCTTTTCTTAAAAATGGCACTAAGACTTCATTGGCTTTATGCCACTATTTGGTCAGTTTCATAACCTAACGTACTGGGAACCAGGGGAAAATAGATTACCAGTTTAATAAAACATATGTCCTAGAGGCTCATCGTATTTCTTAATAGCCCTTTTCTTTTTCAGAAGCTCATCACAATTCATCACGCTTGTGGATTGCCTGGCCCCAGCATAGTCAGTCACACTATATTGTTATTTACCCTAGATTCCTGGTCATTGTTTCACTTATAACTTTTTTCCCCCCGAGTTTAAAAGCATTCAGCATCCTGATTTAATTAACTTTCCACTAATTGAATTACTGATCTATTTTTGCAAATTTAAAATAAAATGTAACACAATGAAATTTTACATTGAACACATAAACGATGCATATTGTGAAACAACCCATTAGTTTAGATTAACTAAGCCCTAATAATTGAACATTAGCTGAGACAAACTATGGAGCCAACACAACCTAAACCTGAAGAGCTGAATGACTGGGGCACCTAGGTCGCTCAGTTCGTTAAGCATCTGCCTTTGGCTGGGGTCATGATTCCGGGGTCCTGGGATCAAGTCCCGCATCAGGCTTCTTGCTCAGCAGGGAGTCTGCTTCTCCTTCTCCCTCTGCCCCTGCCCCTGCCCCTACCCCCAGCTTGGGCTCTCTCTCTTGCTCCCTCTCAAATAAGTAAATAAAAATCTTTGAAAAAGAAAAACTTCTTTCTTTTTAAGACTGAATAATATTCTGTTGTGTGTTTATATCACATTTTGTTTATTCCTTCTTTCCTTTCTTTCTTCCTTCACGGACACTTGCGTTGCTTCCACCTTCTGGGTATTTAAGTAATGCTGCTATGAACATGGGTGTGCAAATATCTCTTCAAGACCCTGCTTTTTTTTTTTTAATTATTTATGTAACATTTACACCCAATGCAGGGCTCGAACTCATGACACTGAGATCAAGACTTGCCTGCTCTTCCAACTGAGCCAGCCAGGTACCCCTAAATCCCTGCTTTCAGTTCTTTTAGGTATGTACCCAGAAATGGAATGGCTGGATTGTCTGTCTTATTTTAACTTTTATGATCAGAATGTACTCATGTATTATTTATTTAATTTAAAACATACAGAGAAACAAAAAAGAAGTAACTATCAGAAAGTGGGTTATGGACGTGTAAGATTTCAGATGTAGAGCAGTACCTAAATGTGGCCCTAAATACGAATTGTGCAAATCCAACACACGACATCTTAGGCACGCTCAGATTTCCTCAGTGACAAACGAGCACCTACAGACCCAACTAGTTACAGGCAAAGTTGGAAAATCAAACTGGATTTTCCAAACACATTTCCCAGTTTCCTGCCCCTATACCTTTATTTCTACAATTCCTTCCACTGGGTATATCCTTTTCACCTGCCAACTTGACCCACATAACAAATCAATTTTACCCATATATCAGAAGTTCTTTCCCTTCTGAGGTCAACTTTGAACATCCCCAACTACACTGACTCCTGGTACATCTGAAGCCCCCAGAACTTTGTGCTTCTCTTCCGGATCTTTTCTTCACAATATGAAGACTGACCGAGGTTCATACCCATTTAGATGGTTATAGAGCCTTATCTTTAGATTTGAATTCAACATTAACAAGCATAGGCCAAGCACTCTATTAGCCAGAATTTAGATTAGACTCCATATTCAACATTTGTTAACAAATACTTATTAAGTATTTGCTATGAATTTGGCACTGTTATGAGAGCCAGGGATAAAGGGGTGGACCAGGTCCCTGCCTGCATGGAATCTATGGGTATTTTCTTCCACAGGCCTTCCTAATTTGGGGAAATCAGGAATTCATCTTTCAACTTACTCAGTATGGAGTGCCTACAGGTAGCAGTTGGAGATCACCACATACATACACATATGCACATTTTAAATTCAACAAATATTTATTGGGTACCTAATATGTGCCAGGTTGTATGTTTGCCACTGGGAATTTAACAGTGAACAAGACGTCAATTTTTTTTTTTCTTTCTCATAACAGCTTTACTGTGATATAATTCATACACCAGGGGCGCCTGGATGGCTCAGTCCGTTAAGCATCTTCCTTTGGCTCAGGTCATGAACCAGGGTCCTGGGATCGAGTCCCACATCAGTCTGCTTCTCCCTTTCGGTCTCCCTTTGCGTTTTCCCTCTCTCGAATAAATAAAATCTTTAAAAAAAAAAAAGAAAGAAAGAAAGCCCTGTAACCAATAGCAGTCACTCCCCATTTCTCTCAACCCTCCCAGCCCTAGGCAACCACTTCATTCTATCTCTATCAATTTGACTATTTTAGACATTTTATGTAATTGGAATCATACAGTATGTGACTTTTATAAATGACTTTTTCACTAAGCCTAATGTTATCAAGGTTCAATCCATGTTGCTGTATTTCTCTTTATTGACAATATTGCATTGTATGGCTATACCACATTCTGCTTATCCATTCATGATTTAATGCACATCTGTGTTATTCGTACATTTTGGTTTATGAATAATGCTGTCATGAATATTCATGTACAAGTTTTTGCTTGGACATATGTTTTCAATTCTCTTAGATATATACTAGCAGTGGAACTGCTAGTTAATATGATTAAAAACTCCATATTTAACCTTTTGAGGAACTACCAGTCCATTTTCCAAAATGGCTGTCTCAGTTCACATTCCCACCTGCAGCCTAAGAGGCTTCCCTCCTCCCCCAAATTTATCATCTATCATTTTCATTACAGCCATCCTCCAAAATATTTAAATTTTATTCCAAGATAATTTTCGAAGTAAAGAATTTGCAAAGAGCGTGCAAAAAGTTCCAGTAGATCCTTCACCCTAATGTGAGATTAGTATTTTGAAAAAAGAGAAAAATACAGGTAAGAGACCAGCTTTGGTCCCTCTCGTCCGCCGTGCATATTAGCAGCCTGAGAGTCAGGGGCAGCGAGAGGAAGGTCGGATCCAGATGCCCAAGGTACCAAAAGCAGAAGGCAGAGTTCAAGGAGAGGGCAGGTCCTGTTAGCGAGGTCACGTTCGGGGGAGCTAGGGACTTCCTGACACCCCGCACCCCTGGCGGTCGCATCACACCGTAGCCTTCTTCGGTTGTTCCCTCCTCCACCAGCAGCCTCCTAACTCCCGGGAGGTTCAGGCAGTGCTTTGAAAGGCGCTCCTAGCCTCCACCTTTCCCCGTAAAGGGGCTAAGGAAAGCACCCCATCCGCCACTTGCCGGCGCGAGAGACCAGCCCCAGCTGCGAAGGCAGGACCTGGTCACACACGCCCAGGGCCACACCCAGACCCGCGGCCCAAGTGGAGTCGCCGGCCACTCCAGGGCCGCCGCGGCCGCCGGGATACCGGAGACCCGCTCCCGATTGGCCAGGCGTGCGCGAGAGCCCGCCTTCCGGAGGTCGTAGGGCGGCCTCCTGGGGAGCCCGGGCCGCCGCCTCCGGGAGGGGCCGGGGCTAAGCGCGGGAACAGGGCTCTGGTGGGTTCTCGGCAGGCGAGGCTCGGCGTGGGAGCGCCCTCCTGCATCGAGACGAGGCCGGGAGACCCGATTAGAAGAGTCGCGGGTCCCTTTGTCTGCTCTCCGCAGCCACGCGCGGGGCGGGGGAGGGAGGGAAGAAGGGAGCGCCGGTTCCCGCCCCGGAAGCGGAAGTGCGGGCGCCACGGGGTCCCGTCCAGTGCGAGCCCGGCCGGTGCGCCAGCCGTTCCGCCCGCTGGTCACTTAGCGCCCTCTCCGCTGCTCGTGTTCCCCTCGCCGGCCGCGCCATGCTGTCTCTAGACTTTTTGGACGATGTGCGGCGAATGAACAAGCGGCAGGTGAGCTTGGCCGCCCACTGTCTCCCGGGGCTCCCCGTCTCCCTTTGACGCCGCCCCTGCGGAGCCCGGCAGAGACCTCTGCTCGCCTGTGCGAGGGCCCGAGTGGGTCTGACGCCCGGATCATTCCTTGTCTTTGTGGAGCGTGTGGCCAGAGGTCGCTTTGTCCGCCCCCTGGGTTTAGCCTCGAGCTGCGCCCGGGCCTGCCAGGGGCGGAGCGGGAAGCCGGCTCCTCACGTTCCGTTCCTGCTAAGGAGGCAGGAGAGCAAATGGAAACCGCAGGGCGCTTTCTCTGTGGGAGTTGGGGTTGCTTAACATTTGAGACTTGGGAAGGCGGCAAACTCGTGTTTCCTGCAATCGCCGCGACTCCAGATCAGTTCCGGCGACCAGGTTTAGCAGTTCAGGACTATGCTGGCTTTTGGGATGCTCGGGAAGGCGGTGTAGGCCGCCGTTGTGCTGCTTTTAGCCTGTAGCAACCCTTCTAGGACAGCTGGGCCCCAGCGGGCTGCCATGCCTTTCCCTGGACCACCTCTGACTTAAGAGTTGGGACGGTAGTGACACTTGTCCTTGAGACCGCTTCGCAGGCAGGTGGCAGCCCTCAGAATCCTCTGGTTTACTGCCCAGTATTAATGGCACCGGGATCTTGAAATTCAGATCTTCTGATTTTGTCCTTAAACCTTCCTTACTCCATCTTGAACTAATAGACCGTGTGCCAGATGGTACTGGAACACGGCTGCAGTTGTTCAGTCCTTAGAAAAGGTTCTTCTTCTGCTCGCAGAGCCTGGTTTTGCTCGCCTTGGACCTTTTTGTAGTATTTCACTGTTAAGAATTTAACATGTCACTATTGAAGATGTTTCTCTTGGACTTATTTTACACTATTTATAATTACCAGTTAAGGAAATGGATATGCACCTTTCTTTCCCTTTCTCCGCTTCAGACTTCACCTAGCTCAGTGTCCCCTCCTGGACCTGTTTCGTAATTCCTACAGTCATAAGTGATCATTCTTTTCAAATGGCATGAAAGGTTTGTGTCTTTATGGTGACAATTCCATTCTCACTTGTGGCAAAGTGTTTTCTTCATATCTGAATTTCCAGGTGCTACAGACATTTCTCTGAAGAAATTCGTACTTTGGGCCTACTGTTCGTTGTAACATATGCTAGGTACACTGAGAGAGATGAAAAGTTCAATGAGACAACTCTGCCTTCAAGGAGCATAAGTGTGTAGAGAATGACTAAGGCAAATAATAACTATTTTGAGCTCTTGCTATATGTGGAGTGTTTTGTATAACAGCAAGGTAGGTCATATTACTCCCATAATACAGATGAAGAAAACGAGCAACCTCCTGGAGGTCGTTAGGAGGGGATGGGAGGGATTGGATAGCATGGTCGTGGGGCGAGGGAAAGTTTTGAACTGAGGTTTTACCTGTATATGGTATCTGGCAGTGACTGTAGATAACTGAGAGCTAATCAGATGGAAGGAGGGAAACCAGTTTGGTTCCACTCTTCTAAAACTGCTGTCATTTGCATAACTTTTCCATTTGTCTCTAAATAACATCAAATGTTTGATTAAGTTGAGTTGTAATTCTTTTTCTTATCAGGTTCAAGGGGAATGCGTGTGAGTGTGATGAGCTTCATCCGTTTAAAGTGGACCGTTTGATAAGTTTCCACAGTTCTATGCACCCAGCTCACTTAAGATAACAGAACATTTCTGTCACCCGCAAGAGCCCCTGTGCTCCTTTGTAGTTCATCTCTCTAGCACCTGGCAACCACATACTTGCTTTTTGTCAGTGTAGATGACCTTGCATTTTATATACTTAGAATCACAGAGCTTGTGTTCTTTGGAGCTTTGAGTTTTCATTGGTTCTTTAACACCTGACTCAAGACTTTTGGTTATTATATGTAATGCAGGTTTTTTTTGGTCGGCATCACAGTTTCCAAGAGTGAAGTGTTTCACTGTCTTTACTGAATCCTATATGTGGTTGCCATATTAAAGCCCTCCCTCTTACCCTCAAACCTATAGTAGCTCCTCCTTGCTTTGTAGGTAACGGCCCAAACCCTTAGAATGGCATTTGCTGTAAATCCCAGTCATTTACAGGCTGCCATTTCTCACTGTTTCAGTCTTGTCCCAGTTTACTTTTCCTACCTATTTCATGTCACTGTTTCTGTGAACATTGTTGTATTCAAACATCGCATACTCAACTGTCTTGAGAACTCCTCTTGTATTCTTTGTGAGTCTTTATGGACTGTCCTAGGATATAAGGTGAGCTCTACCTTCTACTTGAGCTCCCTTTTAGCACTTGTATACTATCTCATTTGTCTTCTCCCCTTTGGTGTGTGGCTCCTTTACTGAAGTATAGGGTCACTGTTTCCCTGAGGCTTTTCTTAATCCACGAAACCCTGATTGATCAAGTTTGCCTGTTTCCATGGTGCAGATACACCCAACATGGCTGACTTCACACTACTAACGTGACGTCACTGAATCTGGAATTAGGAGGAAAGGGGGTAGCATGCAACTAAAACTTCCACCTTAGAGATAACATAGAAAAAATAACCTCAAGAATATAGATGATGAGAAAATGAAGTAAAATAGCCAGGAACTAATGAATTTAAATTATTTACTATCTTTGTTTTTAATGTAATTTAATTGTACTTATTTTTAATAACACTGCTTAACAACACAGCTTGTAAAACTGAAAATTTGGCAAATTGATTGGTACCCCTTGTAATAAGTTAGTTTTTTGATGCCCATTGAGGTGGCCTTTGTGTCCAGAAAAGCCCGTTAATAGTTATCTTTCATTTTAAAATATAATATTCAGTTTGTAAAAGCTAAATTTTTTTTTTTAAGACTTTATTTATTTATTTGACAGAGGGAGACTCAACAAGAGAAGAAACACAAGCAAGGGGAATGGGAGAGGGAGAAGCAGGCCTCCTGCTGAGCAGGGAGCCTGTCACGGGGCTCAATCCTAGAACCCTTGGATCATGACCTGAGCTGAAGGCAGACACTCAATGACTGAGCCACCCAGGCTCCCCTAAAAATTTTTTTTTAGGATTTTATTTATTTGACAGAGAGCAGGAGCAGGAACACAAGCAGGGGGAGTAGGAGATGGAGAAGCAGGCTTCCCACCAAGCAGGAAGCCCGATGAAGAAAGAAAGAAAAAGAAAGTATAGGAAATTTTAACAGTCAGTTTTAAGGGCCTTTGGATATTTGGGCTAATTTACAAACAAGCATCTTAAAAATACTATAAATTTAAAAATTTCCTTATCCATTATTCAACAAACCACTGCATACTTATATAATATTTATGTGTCTGGGGCTACTTAAGTTTTCTGAAATGGTTCAACTCTGTATAAATAGTAAACTTTCTGATTAAAATAATAATCTGCAACAATTGATTGTATATTTCAAATTGGAACTGCAAATCTGACCTATTACTTTAATGGAGCAAATTCTCTTAAAATTTTGTAAGTACTAAAAAAAAAAAAAAAAAAAATTTTGTAAGTACTTAAAATACTAAATATGCACAGAGTTTTTAACATTAAAATATTAACACTATACATAATTTCCTTTAAGCATTTCTGTTCTTAATTACAAATTTTCCTTGGGTTAAAAGATGTTTACCTGCTAAGAAAATGAGTATGTCATGCCAAATAATTTTTAGGTTGCTTTCACATGTAATTTTTGGGATTGTCTTCTCTGCTTGCTGAGAATTCTTATTTTTTTTTTTTAAGATTTTATTTGACAGAGAGAAATCACAAGTAGGCAGAGAGGCAGGCAGAGAGAGGGAGAAGCAGACTCCCTGCTGAGCAAAGAGCCCAATGCGCGCGGCGGGGGGTGGGGGGGTGGGGGGGGGGCTTGATCCCAGGACCCTGGGATCATGACCTGAGCCGAAGGCAGAGGCTTTAACCCATTGAGCTCCCCAGGCGCCCCTTGCTGAGAATTCTTAATGACCAGAGGATATTGGCCAGGATGTGACTAGATTCATGTTATTTTTTGTTTTGTTTTTTAAAGAGTTTATTTATTTGACAGACAGAGATCACAAGTAGAGAGGCAGGGGTGGGGGCAGGCTTCCCGCTGAGCAGAGAGCCTGATGTGGGGCTCAATGCCAGGACCCTGGGATCATGACCTGAGCCAAAGGCAGAGGCTTTAACCCACTGAGCCACCCAGGTGCCCCCATCCTTTTTAAAAGAGTTTATTTATTTATTTAGATTCATGTTTGAGCCCTGATGAGATGAATCCAACTTTCATGAAATTTGCTTATTAGCTCCTCATATTACTTGATTGAATTTTGCATTTCTTTGGATTTTAATTATCTGTATGTCTTCCTGCCTAAATCTAAAGACCTTAGGACTTAGTGGAATCCTTCATTCTTTTTGTATCTTCTTATCGCTTAGGATTGCTCAACTCCTAGTGGCTGTTGTAATGATACCTGATTGAATTCTAGATAGCTTTGATAACTTTTTTTTTTAATAAATTGGCCCTCCAGTAAAGCACACAGAAACCTAGGAGATTTTTCTTAGTCTTCAACCAAATATGAGTGAGTGTGCAACAAATAGGCGGTATATACAGTGCAGAGGACAGATCTATCCAGATTTTTGAAAACTAATAGTTTTGTTTAGGATCCGAAAAATGTTATTGACAGGGTATCTGCATTCAGTAAGTAACTGTCAAGTTTCAGAGTAGAAATACTAACTTCTGTCTCAACAGACAGGGAAATCCCAGGTAAATTATAAAATGCACTTACCGTCCATGAGCATATTCTCAAGCATCCAAAAACCACTCTTTATCCTGTGTAACTTCAAGTAAAATCTGGAATATAGCCCCATAGTAAGGATTAAGGCATTTATTGGCAATGGTTTCTAGATACTTCATACTTCTTAGTTTTGGGGGGGGTCTTTTGCGTAATATTCCTCTCTGAGGACGCAAAGACAAGCGTGATAGTTCATTCCCACGGCCAAATGGCACAAGCCTACCAGTTACGCAGAAATTGTGGTTTTAACTTTAAA